ATAGATGAACCAGGCGGAAATCGTAATCTTAGGATAAATATTAATGCCCAGCATAAAACACGTAAAAGAGCCATAACAGAAATATAATTTAAAATATTTATTTGAAAGCTAACGTTTCGTCTTTAACTTAAGACATCTCCAGAGCAATGACATACAAAGCGGAAAACACAGAAATATGAATAAATTACAACTATTTACAAGATATTATATTACAAAAGTAGAAAGAGGAATGGATCAGAGTAGAAGTAGAGGGACCGAGCTGCCCTGTAAGTTGAGAGAGGGTTTGAGTTTGTTAATGAGAAGACTTTCTCGAATGAGGAGTTCGTCTGGAGAAGAGCAACAAGAAATAATCTTAAAATCATTAAGAGAGGCGGAGTGACCAGTGCTATCAAGATGGGAAAGGATACTAGACATGGTCGGATTGCTGCTTTTACTGCCTGTTAGAGGAGAAACACCCAAATGTTCAGAAACTCGTGTGTGCAAGTGACGGACCGTTTGGCCCAAATACGTTGCGGAACAGCAACGACACGTGAAGGAATACACAACACAAGATCTTAAAGCGTTAGGAATTTTGTCCTTAAAGGTGAAGAGTTGAGACAAACGTAAAGTTGGACGAAAAACGAATCTAATATTAAGATAGGGAAAGGCCGAGGAACAAAGACGGGAGATTTGGGTGCGAATTTGAAGAGAGTGAGCGCCAGTATATGGAAGAGAGAAATATAGAACTTTCTTAGGAGCAGAATGAACAGCTGGTTTGGGTTGAGACACATTTTCTAAAAATGTTCGTACGCAGCGATCAAAAAGACGAGTTGGATAACAATTCTTATTAAGAATCTGGCGGTATAGCTCTAACTGAGCATGAAAGTTCTCATAATTGGAGCAAAGACTAAAGAAACGATGAATAAGAGAAGAAACTAAGCTACGTTTATATTGAAAAGGAATAAAGCTACGGAAGTTGGTAAACAGACCTGTGAAGGTGGGCTTTCGATAGACAGAAGTTTCGAAAACACCATTCTTCCGAGAAATGCTGATATCAAGAAAGGGAAGTGTGGAACTAGATTCAACTTCACTAGTGAATTTAATATTAGGATGCTGGCAATTTAAATAAGAGAGAAATTGAGGTATATGATCAGCAGACTGGAAAATCAAGAAACAGTCATCAACATAGCGGCGGTACAATAATGGCTTAAAGTTGACAGGACAGTTATTTAACCAGTTAGACTCATGAAAAGACAGGAATATATTGGCGAATAACGGACCTAAGGGTGACCCCATAGCAACGCCGTCAATCTGTTGAAACAGAACCCCATTAAACAAAAAGGAGCAGTTTTTCACAGCAAGACCAAGAAGTTTCTTAAATTCCAATTGAGTCAAACCATGAAAGCGAACAGCATTAGAGAATAAGCGGTTTGAAATTATGTCAATGGTTTCATCTAGAGGAATGTTGGTAAATAAGGAAGTCACATCAAAGCTTGCCATGACAACGTTGTTGGAATCGAGATTGAGGCTGAGTAATTCCTGGACAAAAGAGAAAGAATCCTTAACCATATAAGCACCTGACGAAATGGGATTGAGGAGAGGAATAAAAAATTTAGCGATTTTATAGGAATAATGGTTTATACAAGAAAGAATAGGTCTAAGTGGGATATTGTTCTTGTGGATTTTAGGTAGTCCGTATAAAATTCCTATCCGAGAACCAGTCGGATATAGTTTTTCGTAGGTTGCTTGCGTGATTGATTCTGATTTCTTTAACGTCGACAGGAACCTCTTGACTTTATTCTCGCGTTGTAACGTCAGTTTTACCGGGTCTTCGTCTAGGCGTTGAAATTTGGTTTCATCTTCCAGTATGGCTTCCATTTTCTTGTTGTAGTCGTCCTTGTCAAGAATAACTACCCCATTTCCCTTATCTGGTTTGACAATCACAATGTTAGCATCGTTTCTAAGGTTGTCGAGCGACTTTATTTCATCCTTCGAGAATAAAAAGTCTGGACGGTTGTAGCTACGATAGCCGGAATACGCAATGTCTTTCAACTTTGCTTTAACAGAAGCGGGAAAGTATCCAGACTTCTCATACACGTTCTCCTTCATTAGCTTTTTATGTAAGAGTTCGAATGGAGCCAGAAAAGAGCAGTAATCGAGCTTGTTAGGTGGGATAGCGAAGTTGAGTCCTTTTGAAAGAATTTCCTTTTCTTTGTCCGTGATCAAGCGCTGTGAGAAATTAAACACCACGGTATTTGGGTCAACAGAGCAATCAGTCTTGGCTTCAGCGCAAAGTCTAAAAAGTTTGCGGTCTTGATTCCGTTGATGGTGGTTGAGTTTCTCCGAGTTTTCGCGATCAGACACATTCTTTAAGTGTATAAAATCTAAGGATGACACAAGCGCAGCTAGACTGGAATGGGCGACTGTCACTTGTGATGATAACACACGAATTCTCGCATGTTTGGCGGCGATTTCGTCTTGTAGTAATTTGTTTTGGCATTGTCGGTATGCACTCGAGTTTCGCAGACGTTGATTTGCGACCTTGAAGCGTAGAAATTTAGGTATTACCGAACGTTTTTTACAGTTCTTTAGGAACTCTAAATCCAGTTTGGCTTTTCCAAGTTTCATCTCCAGACGCTGAAATTTCCGGAAGGCTTCGAGCGAACCATTATTGTAGCGGTTATTCAAAATACTTGCGATACATGAACCAGGTTTAGCTGGGACATGTTTAGCCATGAACCATGTTTAGCTGGGACATGCCTGGGTAGGCATATGAGAATTGAGTAGATGCCAAGCTATATTATTTTATACAAGAAACACTGGAATCTGGCAATCTGTCATATACACTATACACAAAGGTCAAAGTGTACTATTTGGCATTACAATAAACAACATTTAGCATAAAGGCTGAGTCAAATGTAAGCCTTGCTCTAAAACTAATGTTGTTTTAATTCAAATATTGTCGAAGCAAATTGAAATTTTAAGCTGGAACACCTGCTCAAACTTCACGAATGAAAATAGCAAATATTTCGTTTCAAAATTGCTCCATTTATAAATAAAACATAACAAAATTCTTACCTGGATGTTACCCAGTCATTCCTGATCTTTAATCTTTTAAATAAATAATACTTTCGCTCAATAAATGCTCTGTATTTGAGTATTTCGAGCAGAAAGTGAAACTCAAAAATTTTTAAATATGGTGGTGTGAATTGTGACGCTATCCCAGAAAGCTTTGCGCGCGTTGTTGGAAAATCAGGCACCAGTCTGTGAGTCTGTCAAAACCGCGGTCTTCGTGAGAATTTTTGGTGGTGTTTTGTCAATAGACAAAATACCTACTTCCACAAAGAGTATAAATATTTTTGTAAATATAATTTCAATGAACTCATAAAAAATTTAAAATTAACTCAAACTGGTAATTTTTGACCAGTTAAATAAATACATTTACCCTTTCTCAATTCTCACAACTGTTTCTATGAATAGGAAATAAATAGCTTTTTAAGATCGAATTATTTTTCTATTTATTAGCTATTTTAACAATAGCTCTAAAAATGAAAGTAAACATAGTTTAAAGATAGCTATTTAATAGCCATTTGACGAAACTTCGCCACAACTTTCTATGAATAGGAATCAAATAGCTATTTAAGATCTATTTATTTTCCTATTTAATTTAATAACTATTTTAACAATACTCAATAATAGCTCCAAAAATAAAAGCAAACATAGTTTAAAAATAGCTATTTTATAGCTATTTTGAACCAAAGTTTGCCACAACTTTCTATGAATAGGAATTAAATAGCTATTTAAGATCTCTTTATTTTTCTATTAAATAAATGTGTTAAGAATGGCTCCAAAAAGATAAGCAAAAATAGTTTAAAAATAGGTATTTAAAACTATTTTAACTGACTCGTTTGTCATCAATAGGAATTAAATACCTATTTAAAAGCTATTTTATAGAGAGATTCCGTCAAATATTCTTTCAAATAGGATTTGAATACCTATTTAAAAGCTATTTTTGTGAAAAATATAAATAACATATATTTTAAATAGAGTGTAAATAGTCATATCCTATTTTATGAAATTTGATAAATAGTAATAAAATAGACATATTTTTGAAAAAATACGGAAAAAATAAGGCTAAATAGAGAAAAAATATGTATAAAATAGGTTATAAATATGTCGGCGGTGGTCGATCGGCTTGCCATCCGATTGCTTCTGTTGACAAACAGATGTGGAAGAAACTTATGGAACACACCATCTATTAGCCTGCGTAGCAAGCGTTTAGTGCGGGCGGGAGAAGAGTGGGCGTCGTTAAATAAATGCCTGCCCAAATGCCTATGATTAATCTGTTCTTCTCCTAAGAATCTTCGGAAAATCTTCCCATTGGTCAATCTCGTTAACGAAAGTAATTACGCAACTCAAATGTCAACAATAATTTGCTCGCGTATCGAAAATATGCCGCTTGTTAATGCTTTCGAGGGAACTCTTATATTTCAAGTAGTTAGGCTCCGAAATTCAGTTGAATCCAGAATAGAGAAAGTCTATTATTAACTTGCTGCGTGGTGAAGACGCCGGTTATCGCGATTCGTCCTACGGAATAAGGCAAATCGGCAAATCAAAGCTTACCCGAGCAGGGATCGAATATTCCTTATAGTTGTCCTTTTATTTGTTCACTTTAAAGTATAAGTCAAGGACAGATAGCTGAGGCTACATCACTTGGCATTGCAGCTATGAGGTTTGATGGTGATTTTAAGAATAACATTTCAAAACATGCTCAACTGTTATATGCAGTTAATTTGCTATACGGCGGAATACGTTAAACAACCGTGGTTCAGAAGTCTTTTAAAAGATAAAAGCTGTGTGTTGTGACTGTTGTCTAAAATAGCTTCAAGAAAGCATTGATAATTCATGAGGAAAAAACAGAAAGAAAAATCATAAACGTGTATCTTTATATGTGATAGAGATTTCCTTTGATTTACATAAACTTTAACTTTGATTTTCTCTACATACACAATGAATTTTTTTAAAGCTATTTCGCCGATGAACTTATACTAGATCGATCGTTTTTGAGCAATTTAAAACATTCGCAGTGCGTGTTTTATCAGACCATCTTTGTATCTGATAAAACACTGCTGCTCATGCTTTAAATAGTACTTCAAAAACTCATTTATTATTCATGAAGCAATTATCCAATCTTGAGTAAGAAATTTGTCACGTGCATACGTCTTAGAAATTAGTCACGTGCATACGTATCCTAGCTAAAGAACACTTTAACAAAAGACCATTGTTATGCAAACTATATAAATATTTTTATATAAAGATTGTTATTTAAAGGTTTTTATATAAAGATTTTTCATATTCAGATTTGACTTATTATGCAAACGTTTTTGAAGCCATTTAAAAAACTCACAGGTCGTGTTTTATTAGGTATAAAGCCACTCGCGCTGCGCGCTCGTGGCTTTAAACCTAATAAAACACTACTGCTCGTTTTTTAAATAGTACATAAAATTTCTGAAACCTCCCTAGTTGCCGAGCAAAAAGCATGCATGGTGCTAAATATAAATCTCGACTATAATTGGATAATGGGCGAAGTTGCTAATTAAAAACGTCAATCATCCTTAATGGGCGAAAACAAATTTGTCATAGCCATTTGGGCAGGCGTTTCCTCTTTTCCCGCCCATACTAAAGCCTGCTACGCAGGCTAACCATATAGCAAATCAGATAAGCACCGGAGTTTCAACCCTTTACTCTCTCCTAGCATTCCCTCGCAACTCGAGTGATATTTCGCATCGCGTGTTTTATACACTGACCGCTTTCATATAACTATATGCACAATACTCTCCCCGCGTGTTTCTACACTGACTGCTTTGGAATAACTGTATGGAGGTAATGTGTGGATATGGTTTTTTTTACCAGCTTTGTATTAATATTTATTGATATGTTATAGCATAGTTAATATAGAAGACCGGGTTTGGAAGGCTGGGTCACGTGACGAAATATGTTGGATTTTCGGTCACGTGGAACATATAGTGCATTGCGTGCAAGATCGTAAACAATGGCCATAGTGATTCTATACAATGAGTGTCGAATTTATACCATGACATGCGAAGCGAAAAAAGCTGTTAGTTTGGCGATTTTTTTACAATGCCTCGAGCCAATTGCTAAATATTTGGTTGTGGAACAAGCAGAACGCATGTTGGGCTCGGAATCTTTCGAATTCCGTCTGGCAAAGACGAATGATCAACTAGAGCTCGAGAGGCTTGGGTTACGAAACAGAATTACAAAGAATCGACATATGGACAAAAGTTTACGTCGCCAGATCGATATTAAAGGCGAGCTGCATGTTTTCGAGCATAGAAACATCCCAAGATTGAAATACATTGATTGTCGTACGTGTATTCTTATTTTTTTTCGTAAGCAATGAGTTAAAACTGTGCGAAAGAGGCAATAACGTGAGAACAACTTATATCTACCAGGCAAAACCAGGCAGTAATAAGATTGCCCAAACCTTTTAATACTGGACTATCAATTAAAGAGACTGTAAATTCAGTTGTTGCCCTGACAAGGTTTTTGTTGAGCGAAGGATTTGAGTTTGTGCTCACAGAACGGTTCTGCCAGGATGATATACGATGTTTAAGAGTATTTCGGTTTAATACCAGCGAGCACAAGGGAGAAGGAATGATATTTTACTGTAAAACCCAACAGCAGCTGACAACCATTCAAGGAAATAAAGTTTGTTCGTTCACTGCAACCAGGTATATCAATCATGTTTCGCTCGCTACTCTGGTTTAAATAAATGATTACAAAGCCCAGTCGAATTGTAATCAAGACCCAACGTTTCGACACTCCAGTCTAGTGTCTTCATCAGGGGTGATCTGAAACTGCGATCGTGGCTTCTTAAATACCCAAGGGATGACGTCACCTGCCAAGAAGATGCATATATTCTTCTGGCAAATAGGCGCCGTCATCCCTATTCAAAGCATGATGACTCATATTTATATGCCACGCTTCTAGGCAAAGTCTTTGACCGTAACGATCACCCCTGATGAAGACACTAGATGAAGACACTAGACTGGAGTGTCGAAACGTTGGGATCACCCCTGATGAAGACACTAGACTGGAGTGTCGAAACATTGGGTCTTGATTACAATTCGACTGGGCTTTGTAATCATTTATTTAAACCAGAGTAGCGAGCGAAACATGATTCAAGGAAATGTTTCAATTCTGGACGGCATTCTGGTATTAAAGCGAAGCAAGTGGTGTAAATGTGTAATGTCAGTGAGGAGTCATTGCCCAAAGAGAAGAACATAAAACAATCAAGAAATAGTGATCTTGAACATGTTATGAGAACAATAGTTAACAAGTAATGCAAAATATTGATCATTTTGCGAGAACTCTTGAAGTCTGTAGACATATTGAACATTTCTTATGGAGGTACTATTGTATTGTGCACAGTGCTACGAGTAAAATCATCTGGCATTACTGTAATAGACAGAGTAAAATAATAAAGTAGGGTGCATCTGGGTACATTGCAACTTAAAGGGTTAAATTTAGAGAATTTCCATGCTGTTAAAACAAATGAGCTAAATCTCATTATAATTTTGCTTGATCTAGCTATGCATGATATAACTTTGAAGCAATTTAGTGCTGACACCAATATGTACTTCATGCCACAAAAATGATCTAATAGTTTACCTTGTTAAGAATTTTCAAAATTAACAGTACCTTAGAAGTGCTTAACCCATTAAACACCAACCATCTACCCTTGACAAATAAAATTGTCTGGTGTTAAACAGAGTAAAATAGTCTGGCATTAGACAGAGTAAAGTAGGGCCCATCAGGGCACAATTTTACTGAATGGGTTAAGTAAGTCATATCAGTGCTAAACAATAAATTGCAATGCAATGTGGGAAACATGCAGGACAAAATATACCTAATGTTTTCATTGATTCAAAATTGTGTGATATAAGCACTTTTAAGGTCTATTACCACTCCCATGAAGTGCTACAGTATATTAGTAAGATTACGCTTCATTATGATTGGCTAAACAGCAATATTTGTCCCTGAATCAGTTAGCTTGGGGAGGATTGCTTATAAGCTGACCACAGTGAAAGGTGATGTAGCACTTCACAAGGAGTGTTAAATACTCATTCCTATCCAATCAGTATTTAAGTGTATCTCTTTCAAATAATGCTAGATTTACTCCATAATAATACCCTTTAATTAATTAAACTGAAATGTAGTAGTTAATTAGTGTAGATATTTTTTCATCACTATATAAATATTTGCAATTAAAACCTACTAAAAAATATTTACATTTAGCATTCAGTTGCAATAAATATTTTAGTAACAATGTCTCGACCAACCTTGTATCCAGGATCTTTTCTTTTGGGGAGAAAAGACCCCAGTAGGTGCTTGTCACATGACGTGCTAAAATCTCATAAAATTTAGCAGATTTTTAATTAACTATATTGGACTCCTTTACTTACGACAATCATACAAAATACATCTCATAAAATTAATTAAACTATAAAAATCATCCAAACATCAAATATTTATAAACCTCAGGTTGGATTGCTAATTAGAAACCTGCTAGATTTCAGTAGATCATGTGATCATGCACTTCAAATGTGTCACATACCATGTGTGACAGCACAGTGGTGACAGTGACTGGTTATGGTTTTCAATACCCTAGATTATATTTAAGCTGGACATTTGGTCAAATGCAATAACATTTCAAAGACGTGATCTTAAAAAAACTAATGTACTTCTTTGGTGGCAAAAGGGTTCAAGGAATACATTTAATATTGATTAATACATCACTTCACTAGTCACACATTATTTACAGTATCTTTGGCAAATGAAAACATCTAACAGTAACATATAACTTTACAATATTTCCTAAACACAGGAACTGACATTCTTTAGAGATTTCCATATCATAATTTGCAATAATATTGCACCACAAGTTTTTCACAAGGGAAGAAGCCAATACTTCATTCACTATTTTGTCTACTGGGAGACAAGTGACCTTGTCTTTATTTGTGTGCTTACTAAAAACTAACTCACTAACTTCCATTACACTTACAAGCCATAAATGAGGTGACCAAAGGCCACCACAACGATTAAATGTACTCATTGTCCTCTGTTGCAGTTCGCATTGAATACATCAAGGCTTGAATTTCTTTGTTTCTCTGGGAGTGCCACCTGGAACAATTTTTGCTTTTTCGATACAAAGATCTTATCGTGAGTTCATGACATAACCAGCCAAATAGGTCAATGGCCAAGCTTTTGTGATGATAGAGAAACTTCATCCTAAAATAAGTTAATAAAAACACAATAAATGCTAATACACTGGGTAAATTGAGCTACTATATTTCTACCCAGGGGTATTACCCTGGTCATTACCTTTGGAAACAAAGATGGTTGTGCATGAGTACAGGGTAGTTGTATTTTAAAATTATTACATAATTTGAGGGAACTTTATATAGGTTTGACCAGTATTATATATTATACAATTTATAGACCTTATTGAAATACACTACCTCCAGACATACACCATCTAGCTAGCTAGGTCAAACTGATAAATATATTAAACTATGTCAGAAACTCAGAAAACAATTACCTCAGAGTCAAAAGGTTGCTCAATCTTGTCAGGATAAGGATGAAAATATTGTTGCCAATGGGCGTTTGTATTGCCATAAAACTCCTTTAGAAAGTTTTCTTTGCTCTTCTTTCTTTTAATTTATAATATAAAGCTTCAGAAGGATGTTGATGTTTTGTTAGACCATGCACCCTTTGACTTGCAAATTTTCTCACAAAAGTCGCAAGGGAATTGCTTATTTCCTTCAACCTAGATTCAAGTTAAATTATAGGTGAGGTTATTGAAAAGGCACGGCTTACTTTTATAAGTTATTTTGATATTTAACTCACCTCTTCATGAGAATTTTGAACCTCGATCATCACCACCTCGAAGTCCATATCAAGCAATCCAAGCATTAGCAAGAGTTTGCTCAAAATCGTCTTCAAAACCCGAACTATAGGCTCCATTGCCTTCATAAAATGGCAAAGAACTCTCTTCGTCCATCTCCATGTATTCAATGCCGCATGGCTCCATAGACCTCGTATGAGACGAGAAAATGGTGATTTTAGACAAAGATCCCTCTATTTTCTATAAGTTTCTACTATGAATTGCAGCTCGAATGCACTATAAGCTGTCACGTGACGTACTTTGTAACATGGTATCCCATTTGATCACGTGTTGCTTTGAAGTTTGCCGGCCTTCCAAACCCGGTCTTCTATATTAACTATGGTTATAGATAGAAAATAGTCCGGCTCCCAGTGCTTATAATATATATACAGCACATGGAAAGCGTTTATATTGAAAAATAACCGATATCGTTTGTTTATGAAGCGATCCACTCAAGCTTGAAGTAAAAATGCCTAATACATAAGCATTAGAAATTGCGCAAAAAGGCTGAAACTGAACTGAGTAGTTCTACATACCTTCGCTTTCGATAGACTGCCGCATTATACTGTCTAAATTGACATAGCTTTTTTCACTATGCTCAAGATCCCACAATCTATCTGATAGTTCAGAAAATGTAGGCCTGTCTTTTGGAAGATGACTCCAACACCTTACCATTATCTCGTATCTAAAACAATGAAGTCAATCTAAGTATTACTTTGGCACTTCCATTTGAAAATTACAATAAAAAGTGAATAAATTATAATATTATACTGAATTCTTTTGATAAATATCAGAGGCCAACATATAACTTTTAACAAAGCCATTACAAACTGTTAAGATTTTAAAGAATTTTTATTGTAACGTTTCGTCTTTAACTTAAGAGATCTTCAGATTAGGTAAAATTACAGTACCCGGACATTTTGCCGAAAGACACTTTGCCGAAAGACACTTTGCCGAAAGACATTTTGCCGAACGGGCTCTTTGCCGTCCAACGTTTTGCCGAACGGACATTTTGCCGATCGGACATTTTGCCGAACGGACAGTTTGCCGAAAAGACAACTTGCCGAAAATAGAGATGTTATTTCGTCAAAATGTTTGGGACTGTGACTCGTTTCTCAACAGTGTAATTATCAACCATTGAGTAAAATAACCATTATATGGTCATTAGCAGTCCATAATGGTCGTTAGCAGCGCATATAATGGTCGTTAGTGGTGCGTAACTATATTGACTATTGGCAGCTTGTTTGTGCAGCGAATGACTCATTTGCTAGGAACGTGTTTTGACGTCAGGTCGTAAACAAACAAGACTTCAGTGTGTATAAAGACAACGACGTAAGCGAATTTCACTTCGAGAATTATGGAATACATTCACAGTTCTCGGGGAAATCGCATTCATGAATAGTACAGTACGGTATGAATGATTTTGAATGATGTTATTCTTTTATATATCATTAAATTTCGGTAAACTTAATTGAAAGGATATAAAACGAAACTATACTTCACTATCGACAATGACTTTAATTTAATTAATCACAGAAACTTTGACCGTATAAACGAACCTTTAAAGTTCAGAAAATATCTCTATTTTCGGCAAGTTGTCCGTTCGCCAAACCGTCCGTTCGGCAAACTGTCCGTTCGGCAAAATGTCTGTTCGGCAAAACGTCCGTTCGGCAAAACGTCCGTCGGCAAAGTGTCCGTTCGGCAAAATGTCTTTCGGCAAACCGTCTTTCAGCAAAGTGTCTTTCGGCAAAATGTCCGGCCACCAAAATTACAAGAGATTTGAATATATATTAGCTAATAATAATCTATTTAGGAGGTGTTATGTTACTAAAGATAATAAAAGATAAGAGGGAGTATGTATGACAGGAAGATACAAATGAGGAAACAAAACAGACACAAGACAACGGCAAAATTACAGAAAGTTAAGCGAAATAGAGCTTCACACTCTCTTCAGATTCGCACTCAAATCAACCGACTTTGCAATGCTGCTTATCCTCATCTCAACATTCGATTTATCTTTTGCTCCTCTAAACGCATCTCTTCTTTCTTTCCTTTCAAGGATAAAGTTCCTAAGCTTCTGAGATCTGGTGTCGTATACTTATTTAAGTGTT